TTTGTTCTTCTTTTTTTTCCAACTCCCTTCGTGACCCAGAGAATAATTAGTGCATTTTTCAGTCCTACAGCACAAGGCAGGATCCGATAGTTAAATCCTCTTGCTGGCTTGCCTCTCCAGCTGGCTTCCTACCAAAGGAAAACCTGGTTTAAAAGCAGGTTTGTTCAGCTGAAACAGGATATTTAAGTAGCAAAGCTTGGACTGGTTTAACCTCTGCCTGTCAGGGCTGCCCTCTCAGGCCTCCTTTTAAGCCGTGAGGCTTCCGAGAGTTCTTGACCTTCGCCTCCCCTCGCTGGACACGGTGAGGTGTTAGACCTCTGCAGGGTGGTGGGGGCGAAGGGGGCGACTCGCGCCGGGCCGTGCCTCTCCCAGTCCCCGGTGAAGACGCAGCCGTCGCTGCTTCGGCCTCTCGTCTGGGAGGATTCGCTCCCCTGGGCTGGAGCTGACGGGGAAACCTGAGCCAGGGGATCCCGATAGCCCTTAATTTCCGGAAAATTTTTGCCCTCTGCTGACAGGGAAAGCAGCACATCAGGGCGGGGGCAAAAAAAAAAAACCAAAAATTAAACCTCCCCGAGCCTTTGCAGGGTGATGTGGGTGAGGTCAAGTCCGGGCATGGGGCAGAGGTTTTTTTGCCCTCGTGCCCCGTGGCAGAGCTCCGAGATCTCTTTGTTTTCAGCCCTGAGGAAAACCGACCCCAGCCCCTCAGGTGCCTGTGCACAGGGCGCTCGGCTCTCGGGCCCAGACACCTCGCGGGCGCTGCCCGGCCGGGCTGGGGGGGCACAGCCTCCCGCAGTTACTGATTTATCTGCTTTTCCCTTTTTCCTCCCTTTGCGCTGCTTAAAGATCCCTCTGCAGAGCCCAGCCCAGCCCCGGGGGGGGGCCGAGGGGCCCTGGGGTCTGGCCCTGGGACAGAGCAGTGGTGGTGGGGGGGGTGTTTGTGGGGGGGTCTGATCCGCCTCATCGCGCCAACCGCGGGCGAAGCCACTTGACCTCTGTTCCTCAGCCAGCCCGACTGTAAAATTGGGTAAAGGACTCCAGCTGAGCTCCGCCGGGTAAATTAAATTACAGAGAGACGCTGGGGCGGGTGCTGGCTCCGGGCTGGGTGCTATGGAGGGAGACTCGGGGCTGGGATTAACCATCGGGGCCGCGTTTGCGCCCGCTTTGCCGCGCTGCGGGGATGGGGGGGGGGCTCTGGAAACAGGGCGAAGGCTGATTAGCGTCGCGTTTGACACGCGTCGCCGTGCTGGCGCGGTCGGGCTGGGAGTGCCTGACCTGGATCAGGCCCCCGCTGTGCTCCGAGCAGAAACAATCCCTGCCCTGAAAAGGCGGATGGACAGAGCGATAAATCAACAGAAGAAGCCAAATGTCAAAGCTGCTGTTCAGAGGGAATTGTTTAAATTGATCTCGCCTCGGCCCTCCGCGGCACGCGGGAGCGGCGCTTTGAGTTTGCATTTCAGATGCTCCGTGGTTTCCCTTGCAGACAGTCGCTAAAATAAATATTCCTCCCGTTTCCGAGCGAACCTCCCTCGCTGGGAGAAGCGTGTGGTGGGTGTCGAAGGGCTGATACCTCCGAGTACCGCCCCGTCTCCTACAGCCCCACGCCCGGGGTGTGTGTGTGGGGGGGAGATGCCGCTCGTGTGAGGCAGGAACCGAAACCCTGCAACCGGGCTGCGGGTGCAGGGGACCTGCGGCAGAGCGGGGCTGAGGCCGCTGCCGGCGT